AAAAAGGTTTTACATCGAGGCAAATGTGATGCGTTTCAGGCACAGTATTTAAGGCGAGACCAAATGGAGTGTCGACCCCGGACAAACTGTGAGAAAGGTCAGTGAGTTTTTGGGCCCGTCTCATCAGGAGTGTTAATGAGGTTTGGGGAGGAGCAAACCATTGGCTCAGTGTTTGGAGTCAACTTACAATACAATAGAGAAAAACGAACGTTGCGTTGAACCAGCATGGTGGTTGGATGCTCTTTGTGCCTACGCCATCACACACGTGTCCTTTAAAGATGCTATACCCAATTTATTTTCTAATGAGATCATAAAAATGCTTATTACTACATACAAGTTGTTATAATCTGTAATTTCATTGAAAACTTGAGCTCATTAATTAAGCTGTGTATGAATTCAGGCCGTATAAAAGTGCTGAGTAGAGAGTTAGCGTGACGCCCTCTCTCCTCCAATCACAGAACGAGCCTGCCTCCTCTAGCCTCTACAGTGCTGCTAAAAACAGTAGCATGTTAGCAGAATTGGCTATAACTCTTCTTGCTGTAACTGCGTACACAGCAAAACAGCCCAAACGACACAACAGTGAGGAAGAGAAGAGGGAACTAAAGCAAAAAAATGATCAAAGAAGAAATCAAGCCCGGGTGAACATAGCTAGCTTACATCGTATCTTCTGGAGAGACTCGTCTATGGGAGAGACCTGCGGGTGCAGACCGCCTCGGACTATCTATGCTCGTACTACATTCGGACGCGGAACTTGCGGTAATCTTTCAGTTATATATTTTGGTTGCAGTGTGTTGCTTTTGTACCATTCATCAGAGATTGTTGTACAGCTTAAGTTGCGCTAATGCTAATGTTAGCATATGCATCAGATCGCAAATAAAACTAGATCGCAAATAAAACTAGCACCGCATTCGGATCAAACTGAGCAACCACAGGAACCGAGTCTCAGATGGTCCTCACAATGTGTCACAATTCTACGCCTAACTTCTTGCTTTGTCTGGGTGGCGCGTTAACACTGAGCTCTTTGGGAATTTCAATTAGTTATTTAAATTTAGTGAGTATGAAAACTCCTAATGGCTCGCAGCTGTTATTGTTGCCAAAAATCCCATATTTTTACAGTTGCCAAGAAAACAGCGATTGCGGCTTCAATTGACAATGTGGAAGATTGCAACTTTATTGAGCAAGTTCCAACAAATAAAATGTCCGTCAACAACTATTTGGGAGAAAGCAAACCAACACAGCAAGAATACACCCTGTGCGGCTTTTATACGTATCAAGAATTATCACCACAAAGTCTCTTTTAAAGTCCCGAGTACAACTTACACACTTCCTCGCTTCTTCCCTTTATCCTTACTTACATTTCTTTATTTCATCTTTCTGCCATGGTTCTAATTACAAGCGCGGAAAAGCAATTGCTGAATGAAAAACTAGCAACTGACTGAAAGCTGTGGGTGATTGGTTGCAGAGAAAAGCAGGAATGAAAGAAAAGCAAATTGGAAGGAGAGGAGTTCGAAGATTGCATATAAAAATGGAGGGAAGGTTTAGAATCGAGAGAATAGCTTTTATTGACATGCAACTCCATGCATGCAATGAATGGTGGATGGATAGAAGTTTGAATGATTTGATAAATGTAGCTAATGGTATTTTCTTCGTCAGGTGAGAAATTTGTATTTTCCAAACAATATAGTTAAGATAATCTAGCCCCTTTTAGTCGTCACCTTTTTGAGAGATTTGGCAAATGTTTTGCTATTATCTGGACTTGAAATAAATTTCTTGGAATAAGACGAATCATATCATACTTTTACAATGGGGAAACAAAGCCATAAAAGAAAGCCTTCAAATCAAGGTTGAGTCTGGCCAGAAGCCTTTATCTTCCTTTTGCCTTTTAAGTGTGTTTCCATCACATTATATTGCCTTGAAACTAATGTGAGTATTTATTATTTCCGATTGTTCAGGAAATAATGGTAATTGTCGCCATGAAACATTAAAACCATTTGATTGATCAGAGAAAGCCTCATAACTTTTAGTTTAAACATACACACCAACTCCTTGAACTGAGATATAGATAAAGTAGTTCTACATTCAGGCACAAATCATTTTTGCTTCCTCTTATAGTCCATAATTATAGTGATCTCTATCAAAGGCCTCTAAAACTTTTGAATGCACTTTTGACAAATGTAGCCACACAACATCATATTTACTTTGTGCATTGGAAACGTACACTTCCTGCTTTTACTTCATGTAACAAAACCAAAACAAAACAAAACAAAGAAACACAAAGAAACTGTGTACTGTTTTTAATGCACTATATGCTCATACATCCAAATCTGTTGAGAAGGCACTGCCTGACCAAGCAAAAAAGTTAAACTAAGAACTTTTTGCATGAGAGTGCCTCTGACTCATTTTCTCAAAGCCATTTAGCTTGCCCTATCAGAAGAGCACCAGTCTCTAACAGCATCAAGCCCCTGAGCTCTTTTAGCCTGCCTGTAATTTTACATTTTAATTTACAATTTTGTTGGAGCATGTCCCCACTGCAGGAACCTCCCCACAGGGCCATAAACAGGAACTTTTACCAGTACCTCCTCCATGCCAGGTACTCTGTTGGGCCCTGAACAGCTCCTTGTGGGGCTTTGAGGTTAACCCAGCACTGATTGGCTAAAGCTAGCGCAGGCTCTGACGCTAGCAGAAAGCTGTACAATAAATGGACGGATAATCAAAGGGGGTTTGAGGCATCGTGATGAAAAGCGACCCTTGACGCACTGGGGATTAATCGCACTCCGAAACAATGCCATGAAAAGTTAAAAAAACTGAAGCAGGAACATGAATAACTCAAAGACCACAACAACCGGAGCGTTGCAGACCGTAAAATAAAAAAGTATTAATTTTGCGGCAATCAAAACTCAGGAAGATGGCGAGAGGTCCTACTCTGCAGTGGAGACACAGCCACTGAGAGGCAGAGTGAGAGGATGGTTTCTGTAGATGTCCGACACCCCTTTACCAGGAACTTCTGAACTATTGTTATTAATAAAATGAGAGAGTCACCTATATACGCTCAAACACCTTTTTAATATCAGCATGGCTTTTCCCTGTGCTCTTAAATGCATCTGCTGGTCTGGACCATCTATCAATCTATGCATCCATTAAAAAACATCCTGAAATCACATTAGAGCTTTGACATTTCGTGTAAACTTCAGCCCCTGTCATCTAATTATTACATTATACAACTGCGACTATCTTACAACTCCCATCTCTCACAAGCATTTGGCCCTGGCTGCAGACGGTCATCTAATGTTATAGATTTCATGATTGTTGTGTGGATTGGTGTGGTGCCGACAAGTGAAGAGAAAGAGGTGGACACATTCTTGGCGCACACGCATTTAATCCTGTACGCCGAATAGAGCTAAGGTTTTTCATTACACTCTGGTTTGAGAGGGAGGCCAGACTCAACACGAATCTATACCTCGACGCTCCATCTCTGTCTGGCCCGTGTGCCTCCACCACCTCCGGCTTAAGGTCTGCAGATGGAAGGTGCCACGTTTTACAAGATCTCTGAACTATTGATTGTTGCATTTGGTAAAAATGAGCAGGTCAGATTGCAGTAAAAAATATTGGCTGTTTTTTTTTTTTTTTACAGGAACAATTCAAAACTGCATGACGGTGGCGCAGGGTTTCTCCGGTTTCCCCGTACCACTAAGTACATACACAATAGGTCTGAAAGTAGAGAGAGTGAATGGATGGTATTGGTAGGTCTCGCTTCTGTCATCACCGTGTGTGGAGTGAATGGAAAAATGTCTTAACTTTTAACATTGTAAATCTTTTGGAGTGACCTTGGTATGTAAAATGTGCAACCTACATAAATATTACTTACTTAAGGACGCAGGTTATTGATTGCTTTTGGTTTTGGTATGGTAGGTGAAATCAGTATATAAACTCAAAAATAAAAAATCTCAGTGCAAGGAGGTACTCTTTGGTACAACTTCCTGATTAATTAAAAACTTGTTTGAATATGCTTCTGTTGAAAAATAGAGCTAAGGAAAGAGTAATGCCCTCAGCACAGAGAGAGTGATCAGGGAGAGGCGTGGGGTCAGAGAGTGTTTGAGCTGAGAGGAGTTGGAACTAAATAAGTCTCTGCTTCATCCAACAATTTTTTTAAACTGTGAATTGCTGTTTATTTTAGTATCCTGTTTGAGTTTTTTGAATCCTCACATAGGCATGCTCCCAGTCCTCTGACTATTATTTTTGGAGACAGAGGTACTTTATTGACCTCATCTTCCAAACAAAAAGAAAGACATCCACGCTACTTCTCAAAACCTCCATTAACTCAGACTTTTTTTCTGCTGTGTGTGTAGCCAGTGCGGCCGTTTTCATGACACGTCTCTATACAATTTGTGCCGCTTTACAGTGGTCCAGTGTTTTAATCTTTTTTCGCTATTTATAAAACAGGCGCAGCCCCTGGTCTAAGCCATGTGAAAGTCCAATCTATACACCAAACTGTCATAAGGATGTATTTTAACAACACCCAATTCATTCTTAATAGGATGTCAAGTGTGAATTGTAACATAATTTAGCAGGATAAATGGTCAAAACCAGTTTGGGAAAAATGTCTCTATCAAACAAAAAAGTCGAAACTTTTCCAGTATGCATCAGTACGGACCAAACTGAATAGTGGCATTTGTAGATTTCGTTTGTACTCAAATCTAGGTCGGGTTTGGCTCATACAATTTTTCATTTTCATGTTCAATTTGCAACAGACATGATAAGCTAGAAAACGTGAAATTGTCAGGGGTAGCACAAATTCTGCACCAGTAAAGTAAATGCATATCAAGACATTTTTTTGGCAATATCTCCAACTCTTGAGTCCATAATTTACAACAAACTTTTCTATGGGGACTTTTCCAGCAGCATTTTTCTTTGAAGTTGGCAACGGTAGCGGTTCTCCTCCGCCCAGAATCTTTAAAACCTTTGTTCAAACACACAAAAATTACGCAAAAATCTCCACTTACGTAAACCACATTGACGTAATCATCATCCGAAAGAGTCTCGAGCATTTCGCTGACCGACGTCCGGATGAGCTTGAGTGTCAGCCCAGAAACGCTGCCACTCCTGCCAACGAAAGAGAAAATAAATGACTGGATAAACACAACAAAATAAAAAAAATCTCTTCTCCTAAACATCTCCCCCCCACGTCCCCAGAGAGTGCATCTGTAATTAAGGCGGCTTCACCCGGAGGAAATACAGCACATTACAAAGCCGCTGGTATAATCAGGGGAAATCATGGAGCTATTAGTTTATTATGGATCAATGGAATTATCAGGGAACTCACGCGTCCACCAGGATGAGCATGTCTTTGGGTGAGGCGGCTCCCTGGATGTACCTGGAATGAGAATAACAAAACTATTCCAGTACTAAAATGTCATGCAGTTGGCCTGTTGTGGTAGAATCTGTGCTTCCTTTGGACACAGAATTGATTTAGTATTAGAAATGTGCTTACTAGAAAGAACATGTGTTGAAAAAGGTCAACCATGTTACAACATTATCAATAACCAAATGGGTGTCAATTTTTTTCACACTGAGATCAGGACTTCAGTCACAAACCTGTCGCTCTGGTCCTATGGCATATCTATGATCAGTACGATTTGCAGCAGAAGGGGGGAGGGTTTGTCAATCTAGATATTTTATATATTTGAAGGTATTAAGTCCAATCAAGAAGCAGAGGAGGTGAGCAAAGACTGAGCTTGCAGTATCTTGCTTTGATTTCTCACCCCCTGGGCTCCCGCAGAACAACAGGTCAAGCAGACAAGAACTGCGGCCGTAGCCATACTTGCATGTGAAAGCCAGATCCTGTCAGACCTCTGAAGCTAACCAGGGCAGGGCATAGTTAGTACTGTGATGAGAGACACCAGGTGCCACAGTGGGGCGGCTGCGGCTTGGAAGTGCCAAATCATCACTTTATCCTTAGGCTTCACCCACGTTGCCTAGAATGAGTCTGGTGTGTGTGTGAATTGTTGGTATGGTCGGAGGGGGTGATGGCACATACTGGTTGCCTCACTTCTGTCAGTGTGTATCAGGGCAGCTGTGGTTACTGAAGTAGTTTATCACCACAGTGTTTGTAGTGAATTATGTGAAGGGTCTGAGTGGAGTGTCCAAAAAGCACTATATCGATGCGTTATTAGACGGGCTGCAGTAGAGCGCATAATGTAGAACAACTCAAAATCACATAAATAAATATGTTTTTAATCATTTATTGTCCCGATGGGTTCTACCCACTAGTGTACCAGGTCACCCCTTTAACTGCAATCTGGCAAGTCAAATGATAAATCCATGGTGTATTCACTTAGTGGTTTACCAAGGAAAAACGTAACATTAATATATGTGAATCACCTCCATTACCCAAGATCTTTTCGTTACTATATTCAAAGAATATTATTATTTCAAATTCTAAATAATTAAAGTACTGCACATATTCACAAAATCTGATTGAAGGACTAAAAAAGCATATCATTTGGTTTTTCTAATGCCTAGAAGTAATACAATTTCAAAGCTAACGTGCCAATAAGTAGTTTATGAAGCCTGACTAATTATTTTTACACATTACAGCCCATTTAGAGCGTCCACTCACCAGGGTCTCCTACGGACGTCGTACAGGTCAATCTTGCTGGGCGTCTTACGGACATCCATCCAGGGAGAGGCTGTGAGACGAGAGCCCATGAATTACATCGAGAAACGGATGACAAATGTGGTGCATCTCCCCATTATTCTGGAGAGACGCTCAACACCTCGCTCCAACACTCTGAGGTGTGATCTCAGGCTCCTACAGTGCCAATAAGACAGCATATTGTTCAGCCGGGTTTCTTCTTGCAATTACAGGCGGCTTGAATGGGATATTTCATTTTTTTATGATGCAAAGTGAGTTGTGGGTATTTCAGCATTTGTGGGATATATATGTAGTTAGGCCGGTGTTCTGTGACGTTCTGCTGTATACGTTATTTTACTGACGTATGTGTTTCCAGCATGGGGTTTCCCGACCGCTGCTTGTTAGTCAGTTAATAATATAAATAATACATGGAATATAATGAATGTATCAAACTGTATTCAAGCTGATCAACAATAGTGTGTTCAAACAAAAGTAGTTTTTTTTTTATTGTCAGATTTTTACACACGCGTATGTCAAATCTGTTTTCTCTTCACAGAAGTTGGAATGCCTCGCAGCTATGTGCCCTCGTTACGAAGGATACTGTCTCTCTGTTAGGGGGGGGTTGCCAGAGGTGGCACCCAGTACACATAACATCAGCCCCTCACTGATCCTCCTGCAGGTAGGAGGTGGCTGCTCTATGACATAGCCTTGATCTTTCAGCGGGGGCTTCAGGCAAAGTGGGGTTAAGTGTCTTGCCCAAGGACACAAAGACAGCAGTCATCAGTGGGAGTCGGTGGAGAAGTTCTCATGGTGGACTCGGTGGCCACGACCTTCAGGCTCAAAGGCCAATGCTCTACCAACTGAGCTACCGTCGCCCTGATATATATATATATGTATATACAGTATATATATATATATATGTCTCTCCCTCTGTGTACTCGTGTCTCTCTTTTTCTCCTCCTGTCTCTCCCTCTGTGTACTCGTGTCTCTCTTTTTCTCCTTCCGTCTCTCCCTCTGTTTACTCCCGTCTCTCTCCCTCGGTTTACTCCCGTCTCTATCCCTCGGTTTACTCCCGTCTCTATCCCTCGGTTTACTCCCGTCTCTCTCCCCGTTTACTCGCGTCTCTCTCTCTGTTCACTCCCGTCTCTCTATTTTTACACGCGTCTCCCTTTCTCTCCTCGCGTCTCTCGCACCTGTGATTGTCCAAAAAGGTTGATGCAGAGCGGAGAATTAGCAGCTAGATTTGTTGTGGGATTATCAAAATATGCTGTTTCTATTATCTTTATATTACGTTGGTGGACGTGATTGCATCGGCAAATTAATGCTATTTTATTAGGACATTGGTTGTAAATCTGACTTTTAAAGTCAGTGCCTCCCCAATAACAAACCTCACCGCACGTCACTGTTTGAATGATACACCACACAACACTTAAAACGTATAGCCATCTCTTGCAAAGATGTGATGTCACCTCGACTCAAACAGGCTGATCCAGAGTCTGCTCCTCTGTCTGTGAGCCCGCCTCCCCCCGCCCGCTGACGTAGCCTCATGCTGAGTTGTTTATGGTTGTTTATCTCAGGTACTTAGTCATTTCAGACATAAGAATACACTTTTTCCAACAATACATCCGTCACATCATGCCCTATGTCCTCGATGCACAATTAGACCCTAATTATTTAGTTTACAGAAGTATACGGCGAGTTAGTATCACGGTACTCACAGATCGGGGGTCCATGTTTGTGTCTTTTATCGTAGGACTAACACATGTTTCCAGATCAGTTTCAGAATCAATCATTTTTATTGCCCCGTAAGTAGTAGGAAGTCACAGACTTGGAAATTGCTTTGGCTCAGTGCAACAGTCAGAAAGAACGGTAAATAATAAAAAATAAAAAATTATAAAAAATAAAATAAGTGAGTTACAATTACTATATAGTAGTAGTAAGTAAGCTTTATTTATATACCACCTTTCACAAACCAGAGTCACAAAGCGGTTTACAATTGTTATTTTTGGGCACTTGTCCTCTCACTCCTCACAGAGATGGGAGCGGAGTCGCCAGTACAGGAGGCGCATGTACAGACCTATTGTACATATTTTTAGTGGTAGGGGAAACCGGAGTACCCGGAGGAAACCTACGCAGACACGGGGAGAACATGCAAACTCCACTCAGAAAGGCCCTGGTCCGGCCGGGATTCGAACCCAGGACCTTCTTGCTGAGAGGCGAGAGTGCTATCCACTCAGCCACCGTGCCGCCCATATACAAGTGCACATGGTGCACACAATGTAAGGTGACAGCAGTACAGTGAAGTAAAGTGACGTATGATGGGCAGTAAAGTGACTTTATAAAGGGCGGGGGGACAGGTTAAGTAGTGTTCAAGAGTCCAACAGCAGAGGGGAAGAAACTGTTCTTGTGGCGGGAGGTTCTAATCCTGATGGACCGCAGTCTCCTGCCTGAGGGGAGTGGTTGGAATAGCCCATGTGCAGGGTGAGAGGGGTCAGCAGTGATGACCAGCCCGGCCTCGAGCTCGGGCGACGTACAGTTCCTGCAGCGATTGAAGGCTGCGGCCGATCACCTCCCCTGCAAAGCGCACAATGCGCTGTAGTCTCTGTTTGTCCCTGACTGTGGCTCCAGCGAACCACACGGTGATGGAGGAGGTGAGGATGGACTCGATGATGGCCGTGTAGAACTGCACCAACATCTGTGCAGGCAGCTTGGCTTTCCTGAGCTGCCGCAGGAAGTACATCCTCTGCTGGGCCTTCTTGATGAGGGAGCTGATGGTCGGCTCCCACTTGAGGTCCTGGGTGATGGTGGTGCCCAGGAAACGGAATGATTCCACAGAGGTGATGGGGGAGTCCATTAGGTAGGGCAGGGGCGGGGGGACTGTGCTCTTCCTCAAGTCCACAATCATCTCCACTGTCTTCTGGGTGTTCAGCTCCAGGTTGTTACCACTTTTTACTATTTTTGTATTTGATGTATTTTTACTGTGCAGTGCTTTGGGCAGCGATTGTTGTTGTAAATGCGCTGTATGAATAAACTTGACATTGACATTGACCACTGCACCAGGACAACAGCCGGTCCACCTCCCTCCTGTAGGCGGACTCATCGTTGTTGGAGATGAGTCCAATGAGGGTGGTGTCGTCCGCGAACTTGATCAGCTTCACGGAGTCGTGGCTGGAGGTGCAGTGGTTGGTGTACAGGGAGAAGAGCAGGGGAGAAAGAACACAGCCCTGTGGGGCTCCTGTATTTATAATCCGAGAGTCCGAGACATTCTTCCCCAGACGCACTCGCTGCTTCCTGTCAGTCAGGAAGTTAGTGATCCACCTGCAGGTGGAATTGGGCACGTTGAGCTGGGAGAGCTTGTCCTGGAGCAGGGATGGCAGGATGGTGTTGAAGGCAGAGCTGAAGTCCATGAACAGGACCCTGGCGTAGGTCCCTAGGGAGTCCAGGTGCTGTAGGATGTGGTGGAGGGCCAGGTTAATGGCGTCGTCTACAGATCTGTTGGCTCTGTAGGCGAACTGCAGGGGGTCCACGTGAGCGGAGGTGAAGGACTTGAGATGGGAGAGGACCAGGCGCTCAAATGACTTCATGTCAACAGACGTCAGTGCCACAGGTCTGTAGTCATTGAGTCCTGTGATCCTGGGCTTCTTCGGGACGGGGACAATGATGGAGGATTTGAAGCAGGCCGAGTTTTTGAGTAAGTCCAGTTCCATTGTCCCTTTAGTTCTGGAACAGTCTCAGTGAAGTGTCGCAGATGAACGGATTCATTCAAACCAAATAGTGCGTCACATATTTACACCCAAAACACATTTTATCCAAGGTGACATGATCCTAACACTTTTATTCGCTGACAAAAGCAGAATAACAGTTTAGCACCATGGGTGTCCGCGCGACCAAACCATAGATACGCTAGACTCGGGACGCTGGACTTGGGAGCTGGACTCGGGGGGTGGACTCGGGGGGTGGACTCGGGGGGTGGACTCGGGAGGTGGACTCGGGGGGTGGACTCGGGGGGTGGACTCGGGAGGTGGACTCGGGAGGTGGACTCGGGAGGTGGACTCGGGAGCTGGACTCGGGAGGTGGACTCGGGAGGTGGACTCGGGAGGTGGACTCGGGAGCTGGACTCGGGAGCTGGACTCGGGAGGTGGACTCGGGAGGTGGACTCGGGAGGTGGACTCGGGAGGTGGACTCGGGAGGTGGACTCGGGAGGTGGACTCGGGAGGTGGACTCGGGAGGTGGACTCGGGAGGTGGACTCGGGAGGTGGACTCGGGAGGTGGACTCGGGAGGTGGACTCGAGAGGTGGACTTGGGAGGTGGACTCGGGAGGTGGACTCGGGAGCTAGACTTGGGAGCCGGACTGCATGCTGTGATTTGCTGTTTCGATTTTTCAATCACCTCCCGGTTTTTAGTATTATTATTAAATTTATTATTTTTGACAACAAACAACATACTTATTGTGTATTGTTTTCCCTGTTTTTGTCGACAGTATTTAAAAAGCATTTAAATTTGCTGAATTTTTTTTTCAAATTTGCTTCTCCGCTTCTTGCACATCGTTTAACTTTTGATGCTACATGTGTGTAAATGCGGTAGAGCAATTTGAGCCAATTCTGTGAAACGACCGAGGTGGAGATGTTGTTCATACAATGTCTAACTTGTATGAACAACTTGTATGACTGGCTCAGTCAAAAGAGGGCGGTAATGCTGTAATTTACAAAATATTACACAATATAATACAATACAATTTATTCTTGTATAGCCCTAGGTCACAACAGAAGTCATCTCAGAGGACTTAACAAAACCATTGAAATCACCATCAACACAGATCAGAGAATCAACAGTTAAAACATATGAAAAATATAAAGCACACACAGAAGAAAATGTCCATACATGTTGTAGAATGCTAAAGTGTCCAACAAGACCCTCCTGCATCGACAAGGAAAAACTCTTAAAAGGTTAATGTGAGTGTTTCTTTCTTCCTTTGTTGCAGACGCTGTTTAGCAGCCTGCTACCACGGCCACTGGTTAAAAGTCGTGCGTGGCCATGTCTCCTCACTAACTTTGTACATAGTGCTCATGGTATAATACACTGTTGTGCTCTTTTGTTTGTGTAGTTATGTGGCATGAAACTAATAGCCATTTGTTTCATAGATGCTGTTGGCCACTGCTGTTTTGTTTGGGTTTTCATTTAAGTAGTGTTTCTTGTTTTGGTTTTTGTCTTTTTATTTAGTCTTATCATTTACTTAGTATAATTTTGGTTAAGGCATAGCTATTTACTTTTCTTTCATTTTGTTCTCCATTACCCATTTTTGCCCTTAAGATCTGCATTTCTTCCCCTAAGGTCTGGTCCGGGCGTGGTCGTCCCTGGTGGAGGTTTGGTGGCAGAGTCTCACGTCAGTTCCCCTCACTTCTTGTATATTGTGGTATTGTTGCACGCCCTCACTTGCACGTTTCTTTAGTTTCCCTTTGTGTGTGTGTGTGTGAGTGTTCACAGAGCTGCAGTGGGTGCTCTGGCCCATGTGCTTCGGCCGTGTGTGGCTGCGACGGACCTACCTAATTAATGCAGTTTCATCTCTAACTAATTGGCTTTTGAATACCCTTTTTAACTAGCTTTTTGTGATTAATAAATATTGTTTAACCTTTATCCTTGCCTCTGCCTTATTTTCATCGCCATTTGCAATCCTGAACCTAAAGTAACTACTGTGCCTTGCGAAAGTATTCGGCCCCCTTGAACCTTTCAACATTTCGCCACATTTCAGGCTTCAAACATAAAGATATAAAATTTTAATTTTTTGTCATGAATCAACAACAAGTGGGACACAATCGTGAAGTGGAATGAAATTTGTTGGATAATTTAAACTTCTTTAACAAATAAAAAACTGAAAAGTGGGGCGTGCAATATTATTCGGCCCCTTTACTTTCAGTGCAGCAAACTCACTCCAGAAGTTCAGTGAGGATCTTTGAATGATCCAATGTTGTCCTAAATGACTGATGATGATAAATAGAATGCACCTGTGTGTAATCAAGTCTCCGTATAAATGCACCTGCTCTTTGATAGTCTCAGGGTTCTGTTTAAAGCACAGAGAGAACCATGAAGACAAAGGAACACACCAGGCAGGTCCGAGATACTGTTGTGGAGAAGTTTAAAGCCGGATTTGGATACAAAAAGATTTCCCAAGCTTTAAACATCTCAAGGAGCACTGTGCAAGCAATTATATTGAAATGGAAGTATCAGACCACTGCAAATCTACCAAGACCCGGGCCGTCCCTCCAAACTTTCATCTCAAACAAGGAGAAGACTGATCAGAGATGCAGCCAAGAGGCCCATGATCGCTCTGGATGAACTGCAGATAACTACAGCTGAGGTGGGGATGGTGTGTTCAGGGTGATGAGCTGTGTTGCTTTTACGCCAAACGTATCGTTTTGCATTGTGGCCAAAAAGTTTGATTTTGGTTTCATCTGACCAGAGCACCTTCTTCCACATGTTTGGTGTGTCTCCCAGGTGGCTTGTGGCAAACTTTAAGAGACGTTTTATGGATATCTTTGAGAAATGGCCACTCTCCCATAAAGGCCAGATTTGTGCAGTGCATGACTGATTGTTGTCCTATGGACAGATTCTCCCACCTCAGCTGTAGTTATCTGCAGTTCATCCAGAGTGATCATGGGCCTCTTGGCTGCATCTCTGATCAGTCTTCTTCTTGTTTGAGATGAAAGTTTGGAGGGACGGCCAGGTCTTGGTAGATTTGCAGTGGTCTGATACTCCTTCCATTTCAATATAATTGCTTGCACAGTGCTCCTTGAGATGTTTAAAGCTTGGGAAATCTTTTTGTATCCAAATCCGGCTTTAAACTTCTCCACAACAGTATCTCGGACCTGCCTGGTGTGTTCCTTTGTCTTCATGTTTCTCTCTGCGCTTTAAACAGAACCCTGAGACTATCAAAGAGCAGGTGCATTTATACGGAGACTTGATTACACACAGGTGCATTCTATTCATCATCATCAGTCATTTAGGACAACATTGGATCATTCAAAGATCCTCACTGAACTTCTGGAGTGAGTTTGCTGCACTGAAAGTAAAGGGGCCGAATAATATTGCACGCCCCACTTTTCAGTTTTTTATTTGTTAAAAAAGTTTAAATTATCCAATAAATTTCGTTTTACTTCACGATTGTGTCCCACTTGTTGTTGATTCATAACAAAAAATATTTTTTTTATATCTTTATGTTTGAAGACTGAAATGTGGCAAAATGTTGAAAGGTTCAAGGGGGCCGAATACTTTCGCAAGGCACTGTAGGTACGGTTACATATGCAGACATGTACATCTTATTCTGTATGCACTTTTACTAATTTTACTGTAATCCTCAAAATGTGATTATTCAGCATTTCCAGAAAGACATCTGGACAGGTGCAATTTGATTTTTTGATAGAAATACAACATAAATGTATGTAAATTACGTTCTTTATCATTAATTCACATATTTTGATTGATGAAGGTTTTATGAATGAATTTGAGTAACTATTAATTGAAGAGTAAGGGTCTATTAATAAGTATGGGATAATGTCTAGAACACAGGTCTTTTCAGAAAAGAAGTACCGATAGGAGAGCGAACCGGACCGCAACGCTAAGCGCAGGTCTACACTCTGACGGTATATGTTTTATTAATGTTAATGCTTACTTATGGGTTAACTGCAATTTCTCCTAAACATCATTTGGACATAAAGTCATCTTCAGTTGGTTTCTCAACAGAATCACAAATTTTAAGTCATGACACAGTTTATAAGAATGCATTTGTTTATTTTTGAGGAAAGGGAAAAGCTTCACCTCATCAAGTTGCTCATCGCTCGGCAAGATAAAGGGTAAGAGTACGTTTACTTTGGTTTATGCACTGAAACACATATCAGGTTCTCCTCGCGCAGGACCTGTCTGAGCTCGGTCACCTGACCTTTCAGACTTTTCTCTTCTTCGGACCGCTGGGTATCCTGGTGGGCCTGGGTTCGATTGTCTCTTTTCATCACCTTTTCCTCAAGGTCAAAGTTGGCGACTTTAAGGTCTGCGATCTCTGCCCACACAGCTTCTCGGGCTTCCTCCTCTTGTGCAGAAAAAGCAGAAGCCTTCTGTTGTTTCAGATGATTGATCTCACACTCTTTATCCCCCAGCTCCTTGTTGTGCTCATTCTGGACATTCTCACACTGTGCTTTGACGGCCCGTATCTGCTCCTGTTCAGTCTGAAGCTTTTCTTTGAGCTCCTCTACCAGCTGCAGCAGAGCAGTCTGGGAGGTCTGGGCCTCTCTGGTGGCCTGCTTCTCCTGGTCCAGGGCAGATCTTAGGGTGGACACTTGTATCTTCAGCTCGTGCGTCTCTCTCTCCTTCTCCTGCAGTTTGCGCTCAGCTTCACTGGTGAGACACTTCTCCTGGTTCAGGACAGACGTGAGAGAGTCTAGTGTTGTTGATAGCTTCTGCGTTTCTGTCTGTAACTGCTCCTGATGTCTCTCGGCTGTGACTGTGGCTTGGTCACTCTCACTCAGATCTGACTGAAGTTGGGTCACCTGACTCCTCAGTGACTCCTTCTCCTGCTGCAGCTCTTGTTGCAGAGCTGTGATCTGGTTCCTCAGAGCGGCCTTCTGTCGGGACGTCTCAGAGATTGCATCCAGGATGTGCTTTCTTATCTTTACAGTCCAGTATGGTTTCGAGCCTGGCGTTTCTTTCAGACAGATCGTGTATCTCGTCCTCCACAACTTGCTTGGCCTCCTGCACCTTGTCACGAAAAGCATCCTCAGCCCTATCTTCTAAACTTCTGATGACATTGTCTTTGGCTTCCAGCTCTTTCTTGTGCTGATTCTCCATGTGCTCCATCCAGTGTTCGCACTGAGCCTGGTGGCGAGATTTGAAGGCCCAAATCTCGCCTGGATCCCTCTCTACATCCAGTTTGAGGTTCTCTACGTATCTGTGTGAGAAGCTCTTCCTGGGAGGCCTGGTTCCTCTGCTGTTCCCTCTCCAACTGTAGCTTCAGCTCTTGGTTCTGTCGGAGCAGATGTTGAGAGAGGGCCTGGTCCTGCGGAGCGTCCACAGACACAGTGTTATTAATGAGCCGTGTAGGAAGTGGCGGTTGGTTCGGGCGGGGCGTCCTGCTCCTCCTGCGATGCGAACTTTGGCTCATGTCAACGTTTTCGTTGCGAAAATCCATGTTTTGCTCAGTTCGTTTATAACTTCTGAAAACGCAAATAATGTGCTATTGCCTGAAGTGATTCCACTCCCATCAACTCAAATCTAAGCCCTTTAGAGCTACTTAGGCCCTGCAAGTCCTAAGTAGCTCTAAAACAGTTGTTATTTTGTGCTTCATCAATTTTTCTTTTTCTTGTATTTTCTGCCTGAGATGTTGCTGCAATACAGTGTTCATGGTTACAGTGCCAGTGTTACAGTTTTACACTGGCAGAGAGGATTCATGGCCCGAACCAAGCGGATCAGGTGAAAATCCACTGGAGGAATACTAACTTTTTGAAAAATGCTAATGAAGCAATTAGCATTTTACTTTGGACTAGAGCAGAGAAAAGGGTCTGAATCAACCGGGTACTCCACCTTTTGCCATGTCCTGCTCCACCCAGTGGCTACTCCACCTCTGCTGCTGTGACCCGTCCTGCTCCACCCAGAGGCTACTCAATCTCTGCTGCTGTGACCCGTCCTGCTACACCCAGAGGCTACTCCATCTGTGCTGCTGTAACCCGTCCTGCTACACCCAGAGGCTACTCCACGTATTCTGCTGTGATCCAAAGGGCTGTTGCAGATTATAACTTTTATTATGTTTTTAGAATAATTAATTTTATTTGTATTTTTGCTGCTACTGGACACCTGAATTTCTCCTACGGGGATCAATAAAGTATCTATCTATCTATATACTACTGGGTAAAACCAATAAGACTCCAGTGTTGTACCATTAACATAAGCTATAAACTATGTTAAAACCCTCCATTAAAATACCAACAACCAACTATACTAATAAAACACCCTCCTACAAAAATATATTTCTAAAACACCCACCTATAAAAATATATATACAAACTAAATCCCCCCCACACAAAAGAGTTGACTTGGTCCGGCCGAAACCATAAATATACCCACCCACCTGGACACAAGACAATGGTGAGTGAAAGCACTTTTTAAAATACATCACACAGCCACACTTTTACCATTCACCCGCTACATCCACACATCGCACACACCCGAACTCAAACCAAACACAACTAATTTACAATACAACAGATATATTGCACAAAGGCCAATTGTAATGTTGTTTTGGTTTTCTCCGGCGGCTGTCCTTACCGAAACTCTCAGATTTGGGACAAACTAAGTTTTTGATAAATATTTTAAAACCAACAAGTTATTATAAATGCAAAATTAGTGTGTTAAAATATGTGTACAGTGCAATCTAAAGTGCAATGTAACGTTCAAAAAGGTAAATGAATAAGGTGCATGCGTGATATTTAAAGACGCATGCACGTAAAGAACTGCTGTTCTTTACAATATATATATATATATATATATATATATATATATATATATATACACAGTATATATCTATATATACATATAGAGAGAGAGATATAAATTCATATTGGTTTAACGTTCTGTCAGTGAAAGTTATACTGTGTTTCGATAGGGACCATACTGTAAATATAGAGTATAGGGACGAAGGCCCATCTAAACTGCAAGTTAAAAAATACGGGGACACTAACGCTGCACCTGATAGACCGAAATGCTAACTGTCCTTTGTTGCTATAAACATGGAGCAAGTGATTGTGTTCCTGTACTTAAAACACATGCAAAGCCTGAATACATAAATGGGAATACACATCAATGATTTGCAACAAGCACTTTTTGAAGAAAAGTGACTTCACCACATCACCTGAAATGTTCAAAGACTAACTCACCCTTTATAATTAAGTCTTAATAATCATGTAATTCAACATGGATTTGATCCATTCACTAGATATCCCATATCAACCTGTTACAGTCATTTTTTGCTTTTCGACTTACCTCTGCTTTAGACATCATTAAAGTATTGTTTGGCCTTTATACACATGCCCAAAGAAGTATCTTATTGATTATCTCTTTAGTTAGAGAGCGATCTTTCTCTTACTCACTGGATAGAAAACTAAACGCCCTGGTTCAATTTATAATGACACGGCATCACTCTGATGACGCAGCACCGAGCTGCAGAAGCCGCCTCCAGGTGGCGCTCAGCACTGATTTAAAGATAGAGAAATTAAAAACAGACTGATTTAGTGTATCCCGCAGCCTCACAGCACTGCCATCACGCCTGGCACATATTATCTCTGGTGAATTAGATTTCTTTTTCATTTTTGTGTGGAAGGATGTATTGAAAGAGCCAGTTCAGTCTTTACACAACAGAGTTTCAAAACTATGTTGTTTTGTCTTCGTCTGGGCCTAAAGCAGGATCATTTCAGAAAAGCAATTATAATTTTTAAATCATACTTGGTTCTCGTCAGGACTTGAGCATTTTGAATATACTTCAGCTATTATGCGGCTCATTTAGTTTAGCCTATGGAGATGGGTCCCCAGGCGTTGCACTGTGGCATTGAGGGATGGGTCAAATCCAGAGGAGAATAAAGTATAACTAAACTCAACTCCAACATGGGCTATGATAGATAATAAGTTATTGCTTTGCTTGGAATGTCCCTGCATTTCCACTGATTAACAAAAGTAAGAAAGTGATCTTAATTTATATAGCACATTTTACAGACCGAGGTCACAGAACGCACTTCACAATTTACAGAAAGGCGTCATCTGACCATAGAATGAAAGACAGTTACAATTTTTTTTTCATGAATAGATAAATTAATACGTCTTTTTGTTCTGTGTCTGATATAGATGCAGAGAAAAGACGCTGAATAATTCTCTGGGTCTTTCCTGTCACACTTTTCAGTCATCTTAATTACCTCTCTAATTATCATGCAAAGAACACAAGCAAACGTCTAACTGAAGGATTTGTATTGTTGCTCTCATCTTCAAACCGCTGACTACACAACTCCAGCCGGTGCACTTTGGAATATTTAGAGGACAAACACCGGTGCAATAACAATAACTTAAGCACAAAACAAATCTTAAAACTACGGTGTTAGCCCTTTTCCATAAAGCTCTATGATATGGTGATGACAAGGGCTCATGAATAGAAATTGCCCAGTGTAAAGAAGTCTGCTGCTGGGGCTGTTAAAAGGACAAGGCTCTCTCAGACTCACGCATATTAAAATCAATGTTATTTCAGACATTTGCCAAGTCGTGCGTGCGAGTCGTGAAAACATCTACAGCGGGGGAGACCGTAATGGGGAACACTCAAGTTATCATATTGTGTTTTTAGTGTTGTTATCATCACAATTGCCTGACATATTTTACCGAAATTTAATTTTGGTGTGATTGGTTCTTAACTCTTTCACTCCTTGAAGAAAGCAATGTCAATATTTCTTTCTTTATTTTCTGAGAAGCACTAACAACACACTTTTTTAACTGATAGTATTTTAAACATAGGCCTTTATCAAATGGTTGAGATGCAGTTTGATGGAAAAAGTGCCTAAAACCAAGTGCTAGAGATGCCCCAATTGAGGTAGATTTCAGTTAAAAGCTTCAAGTACATGAAGTGACTCAAAAGGGACCCAAAAAGTGATCCACCAAATGGCTTAAATTATAGGCTTATGCATTCTTTTTTATTTGTTTATGTTTCCTTCCTCTTTAGGCAAGACTTATCACTCGACTTGTTACTTAAATAACAAAAAGTCAATAGCTTGAGCAACGGTCAAAAGCAGCTTGTTTCATTGCAAAGTTTTGTTTTAAGACATATTATAATATACGGAAATATTCTCAAATCAATATATAAATGTATGCAGCCTCAATCAGGCAAAGTGCAATTGTAAAGAAATTCAAACAGGGAGCGTGGTGAGTAGGGGTGTGACGATATATTGATTTTTCGATATATCGCAATACTTTCTCCCGCAATTCGATTATCAATATGCATTTGCCAAGTATCAATATCAATTTTGAAAAAAAATAAAAGATTTTTTTGTTTTTACAAATTATTTTTTTTCAATTGGTATCAATACTTAAAGGAGCAATATGTAATATTTGCATGTCAAGTCATCATTAAATGACCCGAATATTTCAAAAGGCGTTATTAAATCATACTCTTTTCGAATTCATCTTTAACTGATAACAGTAGTTCAGCCGAGATATTTGATTATCAAAATTAGTTTTACGACCCGTAAAAGTTGTTATTGTTTTGATTTTGATGTCCTACCCTCCGCTGTTTCGCCAATCAGGAAGTGTAATGTAAGTCCGTGATCGGGTTGCCAGAACTCCGCGCGGCTCATTAATCTCAGTGGTAAAATAACATGTGGCGCAGAACTAAAAAAGGTCTTGTGATGACTCTCAAATCATTAATGACAAAACAAAGACTAAAACGAGGATTTATATCGGGATGCCTTTGAACAATTGAGACAGCTGATAAAAGTTCACGTGTGATGCAGAATTTTCTAGTTTGAGTCCGTTCTTCAGTGTCTCCATTCGTGTGAATCGGTGGTCTAGTGGTCTAAGCTGTGCGCTTACGACGCAGGAACCCGGGTTCGATCCCGGGCTATGTCTTTTTGTATTTATTGCATGTTATCACATTCTATGACAGATTACTCTAAAAACGGTAAAAGATGAAGGTCAAGACATTTTTTTTGCAGATTATAGCTTAATTGTAAAAATAATCATTTAAGACCACATGTACCCAATTAAAATAATGTTAGTCTCTTTTTGATGTGGGACTTTTACATGTTTGTCTAAAAAATAGGGAATAAATAAAATTGAAAGGTGATATCCTCTTGAGCAAACCCTGATGTTGATACGCTGAAGAAATACGTTCCAACATCCATTCTTCCCACTCCTATTTTGGACATCAATTGCTTATTTATTTTGCATAAACTATGTATAATTACATTGCTTTTATTTTGTTTTTGTTTTTTATCTCAAATGTCCAAATAATAATAATAAAAAAACATTAATCAAAACATTCATTCAGCATTAGCACGGCTGTCATGGCAATGTGAATGGAGACGGACAAACAACTGATAAAATAATTCCCTGTGTTTGCTGCTGGATTTGGTGTGAATCTGGCAACCTGAGTCAGGGAGAGTGGGAGAGGACTACAAAATATTGACTGTGACTGCAGTACCACTTTTGGCCAGATTTTTACATATTGCTCCTTTAATATATGGCTACATTATGCGTCTCCATTCCATTTATCATGAAATAAAGTGTATTTTTTCTTTTATTTATGCCATAAATTGGCATATTGTATATTTCTGACCAATATATCAATAATCGTCATATCGTGATAAAATCTTTATCGTGTATCGTATCGTATCGTGAGGTACCCTTAGGTTCCCACCCCTAGTGATGAGCGTGAACTTTTTCAAATACCAGTGTGTTAACGTGCCATTGATTCACTTCCGCGCAAAAGACGCCATTAGAAATTAACGCGGAAAGAGCAACATCCATGTGTATCTGTATGCGGGTCAACTGCGTCACACTAGTCTACACTGTCTATGGTGCGATCGTATTTATTTACCTGGATAGTACCGAGCCAGGCCTGTAGCACTGCCGAACACCTGCCACAGCACCGTGGGATCGTCCTCGCGGTTTTTCCTGAACACATCTTCCAATCGCTCAGTCCAGTTCAGCTCGTTCAGCACAATGGTGGCTGCAGACACATGCAAGGGTCATTGTTATCTTCAGACAGTTGAAGCAAAGAGAAGCAAAGATACACTCTCACGAACGGACTGGCATTTGGATGTTTTAATTGACCATGATTTCAAAGCCCATATTAAAGTAGCGTACATTTCACATCAGAACATGGAATTTAACTAAGTAAAGATCTTTTAACCAAATAGCTACTGTATATTTGAGTAGCTAATGGGATCTGAAGAAAAACACCACATGATACAAATCACTATATTATTCACATTGAACGGTAACAGCAAATACTGATTGACTGTTTGCCATGGTATATTGCTGTTCTGTGGCCGCATATTAGCATAGCATTAAACACCATGGCTTTTATAAGATTTAAGACATATTTTAGCAAGGCAAAGTTATCTGTATAGCACAGTTTGCACACAAGGCAACTCAGAGTGCTCAAAGTGACAATCCTTCAGTTGTATTCACAGCTAAACAAAACGGTTGTTAACAAGGATTCAGACATTGTCAGTAGTAGTAGAGTAGAAGCCTGTCTCACGTTTTCAGGAAGACTGTCCCAGATTTTAACTGCATGTATCTGAAACGCTGCCTCCCCATGTCTAGTCCTGAGTGTGGCCAACAGCAGGAGGCCAGTCCCTGTGCTCCTCAGAGTCCGAGTTGGTACATACGGTAGGGCACTAACATCTCTTGGATGTACTTGGTGCGAGGCCATGGAGAGACTTGTACACAGGCAGAGCTGCTGTACAGTTTATTCTCTTAAAAAAAAAAGGTTTAAAGAGAATAGACTTCAATTTGCTGAACGTACATCTTCACTCACCCCTCCATTAAGGGTTCCCGTTATTTTTTGTATACAAACCTCCCACGCAAAATGAGACACAGCACCTTTCAATTTCCTCTCTCCTCCCCACCCCCGCCGCAAACACCCCTTACAATTACGCAGCAATCCATTTGTTTACACATGAAATTCCTCTAATTATCTCCTCCGACATTATTCTCCAGCTCAGTATCGCAATCAATCCTTTCCGATTTTGTTGCGTGGCCAATCCGTAATAGGCAACACACGCACCAGTCATTAAACGACTCAAATTGGGCTCTTAGTTGCACGATTTAGTGACTCTTGCATGGTTATGTGTGTGTTTGTGATGGATCGCGTATGCAGTGCGAGGCAACAGGCATTATGGATGTAATGACAGGACCGCCAAACAGCTCCGAGCCCCCACACCTCGTCTGTGATGGATGGTGAGGCGGTGCAGGCCTCTCATACTGGGACTCACTGGGATGGCACTGTTTGCATTCGTTTCTCTTCTCATTTACCCGTTGGAAGTTGGGTAAAGAGTGATTCATGGGTGTTGGCACTAAAGTAAGTAAGTAAGTAATCTTTATTTATATACCGCCTTTCACAGACCAGAGTCACAAAGCGCTTCACAATTGTTATTTTTTGGGCATTTGTCTCTCACTCCACACAGAGATGGGAGCGGGGTCGCCAGGACAGGAGGTGCATGCCAGATCTATAGCTCATATTTTTAGTGGTAGGAGAAATCGGAGTACCCGGAGGAAACCTACGCAGACACGGGGAGAACATGCAAACTCCACTCAGAAAGGCCCTGGTCCAACCGGGATTCGAACCCAGGACCTTCTTGCTGGGAGGCGAGAGTGCTATCCACTCAGCCACCGTGCCACCCAAAGACCCCATTTCTTGGACTTTCCCCATTTTCATTATGCATAAAAAGTGTGCGTCCTTTCCTGAATCGAGGACACTTTCTACATGATGACCTGGCGGCAGAGTGGTTAGCACTCTTGTTTCTACAGGGTCTATCAATTTTTGGATGTTCGTCCAAATATACAATATTTTGAAATGGGACTTTCCTGGTTGAATACAAAAAGGTCAATTACAGGCTTCCCACAAATGTTTTTAGAATTCTTATTTTTTTTTCTTACATGTCACACCTTGCTTCCAGTCAATGTTTTGCGAAATAGAAGCTAGAAGAAAAGATTATTGTCAAGCTCCTTTGAGGTGATTTTTACAACTAATATAACAAATATTCGTGTTTAGCTGCCATTTCTGTCCTACTCCTGTCTGACAAACTGCTGACTGGAGGTAAAGTGTGACGGTTTTCCGAACTCTGAAGTAGTAAGTGCATTCTTCCATTACAATTAATATATCACTCACAATATAAGGACAATGTCGTCTTGGTGTAGATCCGGCCCAATCACAGACTGTGTGGAAATGAATTAGTGATAATTGTGACAAATAATGTGACATTTTATACAACCCAAATATTCATTATGACTGCCACAAGCACTGTGCACACAACGCACTAAATACATACAACTCATGGCTATCTAAACATTCCCGCAATAATATGAAGTCTTAACCCTTTACTGTTCACTCCTTGAAGAAAGGGATATCAATATATATTTTGTTATGTTAAGATGTAGAAGCATTAAAAACCTTTGTTTCTGTTGAATTCTAGGCCTTTATTTTACATAAATTATATATTTGCTTGAGCAAAAGTCAAAAGCGGCTCGTTTCATTGCTATGTTTTGTTTTAAGACAGTGGAAATATTCTCAAATAAAGATATACATGTATACAGCCTCAATCAGGCAAACAGCAATTTTAAAGATATTCAAACATGGAGCGTGATAAGATGCAGTGAACATTTTCAAATGCAAGTGGTATTACATTTCAAAAACAGCCTGTTTACGTGCCATTGACTCACTTCAGCGCTAAAGACGGCTGGTTGTCTTCCGGGTTAAACATTGCCGCAATAATATGAAGTCTTAACCTGCTTTTCTCCGTGTTACCAAATGCCCATCACTGAAGGACACATGGATTCATAATCGTCCTCCCGCATTAAACATTTAACAGTGGCTTCAGTTTTATACTCACTACTTCTGGCACAAATTTGCACAAACATGTCCTTGTGACTCTTTGTCAAAATGCTCCCATGAAAGTATTTACTAAAAATTAGTTCAGGGATTTTTATCCCCACACAAATGACATTCTTTACAATGTTCCATTTTCTATCATAACATCAGCAGACGCTGATTTCCCATTTGTCCCATGAAATCTTTGTAGATTTGTATCCTTTTATGCATTATACATGTTCGAAGATGTTTCCACATTCTAAAGCATGCCATTCCAAAGTAAATATTCTCCAGTCAAAACATGGCACGGTATTTTTTGTTGTACTTTGAACAGGACCAGCATGTTATATTGACCATTAAAGTACCATCAAAACACAACAACAAATAATAAACGCTCCGGAACCTCATACACAGGTCTAAGTAGGAATTCGCTTTTTTGTAATAACAAGTGTCAAACCCCCCAGGCACGTAGGAAAAAACAATAACAAAAGGTAAACTTTCTTTGTGAAGTATGAAACAGTCCAAATGATCTTGACAGTGGAGAAGAAGCGCAACACAAAAGCCCATAGCAATAAAGGATGCGATAGATTGCTGGCTTACTATTGACAGCTCCAGGACCATTGATGTGCAGAGCAAAGCCAGTTCATTTGCATGTAATCCTCTGGAGAGTTGGGCTAATGAAGCCTCAGTACAGGAGGCTTTTCCATGTGTGAACACTATGCATGGGGACGCTTGGCAACACAACATGCGGAATATCTGCTGGAATCATATGTGTGTTTGCCATACAAAAGAGATACAGAAGATGACCTAAAATACAAAAAGAATTCCTATATATTTGATGTATTTTTGGAGCCTTTTGATACAGATAACTTGAATGAACAGCAGCACTAGGACTGGTTGGCTAAGAAATGCTCTGTTTGAATGTAAAATGCACGTTTGTGAAGTATAGAAGAAGTATAGTTTGTAATGGTGTTAGATAAACAAAAAAGTCATTTTTGCCATTAAAGCTTGCACAATACACAAATATGAAACTCAATCAAATCCATAGAAATAGTTCATGGCTCTAAAAATCTTTACACAACCTTTTGGTCATAACAAAATAGTTGTAATCTGATATATTAGGCATAAACCAAATAGATATGATAGAGGATATTTAATGACAATAAACAGTTACAAGATACATACAGAGACAACAGAAAATAAGCCATACATTCACACACGGACACATGGTGGAGAGAGAGAGACTGACAACACCATGTAGCAGAAGGCCTGGTGCTGAGGCCCAGAGAGAGGGTCCAAAAACAGAGAGAGCCCACAGTGAGAGACACCCCCACATTAATCACCCACATGTCTCACTCAACTGGTCAGTCAGAGATGGCCCCCCAATGGAGAGGGACTATTGTTAGCAGGAGATTGAGAAAATCCCAGCAATTTTCAGGTTTTATATCCAGCTTTTTCAGACAGAAATGTGAAAAAGAAAGGACCACCCTCAATCAGCTCCTTCCACGACTCAATAGTGACTAGTATATAAAAGATGGCACGTTTTCCAATACGTTTTCCAATACTCTTCATGTTGGAGAGTTGGTTGTTTTTTTTATATTAGGTGCACTGGGAGTATGCAAAAAATACGTTTTACAAAATCACAGAAGAGAAGACTAAGATGTCAATGGCGGAAAGTTCATTATTAAAGCCCATCTCAAATGTGATCATCAAACCACATGAGACACCGTGTCAGGGACAATATGGCACCAACAATGTCAACTGCTGGTTATGACACAGCTTTGATGTCAGACCGCCTTTACCCCAACTGATTGTTTCATCTCGATGGGACGTCAGGGAGATGTATAAACTAGATGAACTGGCTTTTCTCACCGCTCTCTTGTTTTTAGTGGTAGGGGAAACCGGAGCACCCAGGGGAAACATGCACAGACGCGTTCAAACTCTACGCAGAAAGGCCCGTCTGGAGGTGGAATCAAACCCAGGACCTTCTTGTTGTGAGGCACTGTACTGCCCAGTGCTTTCTCACTCTCCCCTCCCCCTTCTCTTTAAACATTGTAGTTTGATCTAAAACATGTGGTGTCATACAAACATTTGGGAGTGATGATTAACTTGACACGCTTGTGGAAACATCACAT